TTTAAGATGTATGTTGTTTCATTTTATATGCCTGTTGTTTCATTTCAACCAACAGTTTTCCATACTTGCTCAAACAGGTTATGTACTTTGATAGACTGAAGCGTGGCACAGCTGAACCACGAAGGACAATACCCCTAATATCCGTTTGGAACAAGCAGATGATACAAGAACGAATGAAGGTCGAGAAGAAGAGAGGATTTGGACAAGGTAAAGTCCTCGATAGGTTAACTGCTATAAACACGAATTCTGGTGAAGAAAATCAAGGGCCTTCGTCGTCCTCTGCTCCTGAAGATGTTAAGGTAAAAAAAAACAAAAAAACATAACAATTAATATACCTGATGTTTCATTGTTTCATATTAAATATTATTTGTTTCATTACATATTATTGTTGGTTCAAAATAATGTATATGATTTAGATGTATGTTGGTTCATTTTATATGCCTATCGTTTCATTTTATATACCTATTGCTTCACACATTTCGGGTGTTTAGTGTTTTGTCTACGCTGTTTCATATAATAAATCTGATGTTTCATATTGGCCACATGCTATTGTTTAATTGTTTATAATACTGGAATTAGAAACGTTGTTGGTTTGTTATAGGGATTTATACTTGATGAATTCAACAACATTTCCAAGGAACTTGCTGGCCATGTCCAGTCAATGTATGCACTGATTGACAAGGCATACAAATTGATTGAGGAGGTGGAGATCCCATATGAGATGAAGGAGCTCATAAGAAATGTATGGGGCAAGTACACATCACTACAGCCCACTATGAGTTCCCAAGGAATCAAGACCCCGGGTTTTCTATCTCAAGATCGTGTGAATTTCCTGGAATGCTTTGTCTCATATTATATACATATTGTTTCATAGTATATATAATATTATATTGTTTCATATTATATACATATTGTTTCATTAAATTGTTTTACTGTCCAATCAATTTCAGTGAGCAGTTGTACAATGACGGGCTTAACTTCATCAGTAGGGAAGACATTTTAGGACTACAAGGTGACAAATATGTGGTCAACAATATAATAGATTCCTAGGGCCACATCCTTAACATGGAAAACAAAAGAAGGCAACCAGGCGCTATCAACCGTTTTTTCTGCTCCTCTGAATGTTGGGTAATTATGTCTAAAATTATTTTATAGTTTCACTTTTAAGCTTTAATGTTTCATTTATCATATAATTTGTTTCATTAACATATTGTTCCATTTTTTCATTACTTATGTTTCATATTAAATAAAATATGTTTCATTGTACATACAATATGTTTCATTGTATACAGTGCTAATGTTTCACTATATAGTGCCAATGTTTCATACATCTGATGTTTCATTTTTCATTTACGCTGTTTCATATTATATATCAATTATTTCATTGTATACAATGCCAATGTTTGACTATATAGTGCCAATGTTTCATACATTTGATGTTTCATTTTTCATTTATGCTGTTTCATATTATATATCAATTGTTTCTTTGTATATAGTGCCAATGTTTCACTATATAGTGCCAATGTTCCACTATATAGTGCCAATGTTTCATTTTTAATATATTATGCTCCGTATAAAATACTTCAGTTTTATAATATTGATACATTATAATATTCCTGATACACTTACAACTTTAACAATGATTAATTACTTGGAAACAAACAGAATATGCTGTGCGGTAACAAGTACTTTACGCCAAATACCAAGTTTGCATAGAGGTACAATTGTTTCAAGAGCAGGATGGTGGACGAGATGAATCATTCTGAAATAACTTCTTTTGACAAAGTAGATTTGGTTAGATACTAAACTAATACTGATTCTTAGCATATATATTTGCTTAAAAAGACATACTTAATGTAACGTATAACTTACTTATTGTTTCATTATAGGTTTTCTTTCTCGTCCCAGCATTTGAACACTATTATCTGTTCTGTTTCAATTTCTCACGCAAGCAACTGCAAATTATAGACAACAGATTTCTAGAAGAAGGTGTTGAAATGGATGCAAAGTACGACAATTTCCCAACTACCATGGTAAAAATATAACACTGTTTCACTAAACATCACTGGTATTCCATTTTTTATTTTTTGATGTTTCAATTAGTATATCTGGTGTTTCATTGTTGATTTCTGATGTTTCTGATTATATAGAATATGTTTCAATATATATATATGGTTTCAAATAATACATTTGACGTTCCATTTTTTCATTACTGCTAATTCATATTAAATTAAATAGGTTTCATTGTACATAGAATATGTTATTTCATATTCATACATTTGATGTTTCATTTTTCATTTACGCTGTTTCATATTATATATCAATTGTTTCATTGTATATATTTGTTGTTTCTTATTATATAGAATTTGTTTCAATATATGTATATATGGTTTCAAATAATACATTTGATATGTTTCATTGTACATATAATATGTTATTTCATATATTAAAACTGATGTTTCATTTTTCATTTAGGCTATTTCATATTATATATCAATTGTTTCATGGTATATATTTGTTGTGCCATTGTTCCTTGGTACATCTAATTGTTTCATATTATACAGATCAAGGCATTTGCTAAATTTCTAAATGAAAAGAAAGTTGGGAATGGACGGGGAGTGTCTAGATTCAATACCACTATGAAGGAAATGAGATGGAAGAATAATGACAATTATAATGACTGCGGTGTATACGCTCTCAACCACATGGAAACTTACATGGGGCAGCTAGATGAATGTTGAGATATTGGATTTAACCCAAAAGATGTAAGTTTTTGTGTAATTCTTATATTAATTTATACATAATTTATGGTTCATTGTTCTGGTATTTATTTTGAATTGTTAATATATTTCAGCCTCATATAATGAAGAAGTTGAGGATCGAGTATTGTGGGAAAATATTGACAAGCCCTGCAAACGTACTACAAGATGAAGTTATAGCCAAATCAAAGACTTGGACATTAGAGCAGCTTCGTCATGTTAATCAGTAAACAATGTTTATGAATGTTTCCACATTAGTTGTAAGATACATAATTTTTATGCATGTTCTGGATAATTTAGCTAAACATCTTTTTATGTTTCGTCTAATGATTTTCTATTAATATCTGAACAGTTCCTTCTTCATATGTAAAGATGTGCATACATTATTGTCAATTGTGAACTATTAATATGAAATATTAGAAGTATTAAATGAAACTTTAAATATATAAAATGAAACAACAGTAAGGTAATATGAAACATTGTCATTATAGGTTTAGCTAAACATGTTCTGGATCATTTTCCCATAATTAGAATTATTAAATGAAACTATAAATAGATAAAATGAAACAACGGTAAGGTAATATGAAACAATATTAAACAATGTCACAACATGCATTGTCAACGGTAAGAAATAAATTTAAACCATGCACTGTCACAACTGAACACGTTTCCACATGAAACTGACAAGTGTAAGGTTGCTTTTAAACTTTACAATAAATATGTTCCCAAAGCAACAATACCACACCAGTACTTTTAAGAAAAGATGACTAGTCAAATCAATACACGCTGCCACATAAAATCAATTTGCACACTTTCTGAAAAATATTATATACTCCGTAACTTTTTTTATATAAAACATGCTTACAAAACATGCTAAAACGAATCTTAATGTTTCAGGTAATGTTCCTACTGTTCCCATAAATGAAACAATTGTTACATATATTAGAGCTAGTGTTTCTCAAACTGATGCTTCTCAAAACTGATGTAACATATATTAAAACTGATGTTTCTCAAATGTAACTAATTGTTCCATTAAAACAAACATAAAAATGAGTAAAACATTCCCATAAGAAGGAACAACAGCTGCACAAATCATCATGCTTTGTGAGGACAATTTCGAATATCATGATATGCTAGCTCGCCACAGCCACTGCATTTCCTCTTCGTTTTCTTTTTAGATTGTTCAACCGCTATTTCTTTGGCACCCTTTAATCTTTTAGACCCACTAGTTCCAGAGCCATCGTGAACACCTGTACCTTTATTCTTCGACACTTTAGGAGGCTGAACAAGTATTTCATCAGGAATGCTACATTCTATTAACATCTCAATATCATGTTCACTAGATCTTACATTTTGAGTATCTTCCAAAGTAACATTTTTTGTCGCTTCAATTTTATTCTTGAACTCTCGAATATTCTTAATAAAGTCCTCCTCATGACCTTTAACCCAACTCACACAAGAAAATATCTCCGACCACATTTCATTTATAACCACCCGCCTATCATCTTCGGTGTCTAAACAACTTATATCTAACACTGGTTTCTGAGTAGCAGTTATTGTCCAACGATCTAAGATATATTGCTTTGGAATGCTTTTTAAATTCTTTGCCTTCCACATCCATATCATATGTCTGCATGGGATTCCTATCCTATAAAACTTCTTACAAGAGCAGGTAGTGTCATGACTAAAGCACTCAAACAAAACTTTAAATTTCCTTCTCCTATTTGCCTCAGTAACAATTGCTACATCAATACCATCTTCCTTCCTCAATTCATCTACACCACAACAATAAAAAGCACTATGAACATCATCTTGAAATTCATAAAATACAGAAACGGTGTACACCTCAGAACCATGCCTCACAATCAACAATTCTGTCTTACATTGAGGGAATTTCTTCTGTGATTCATTGTCATTCTCTGCCTGACAATGTCTCTGTGCATCCAACGCAGTTTCATACCTCATGAAAAACTCCACAAGAGACACGTGAGGATTTACAACGGATGTAAAAAAATTATTCTCACTCTCTCACCTTGAGGTAGTTCTCATAATACCACCCATAAAAAAATCTCTAAAATACGCTGGAATCCACATAGATCTCATCTCAAACATCAAATTCAACCAATCATGGTCTTATAATTTAAACTCAACAAGAACATTGTTCCACATCTCTTCAAATTCAGGTGACTCAATTTCTAAATTCCAAACACACTTACTGAGTTCCTTCAAAAATTCAGTATCCTAAATGATATTCCTTCCAACTTTATCAGGCAGCTTTTTCATTATGTGCCACATACAAAATCTGAAGGACATTAATTATGGGACATTAGACCACTATTTAGAAACATTAGCTTTTAAAACTATAACATTATAGTAAAATTCCGGAACATCATCTTGAAGATTTGAAATAATAAAATAAATAATTGGAATAACTAGGCGAATTCTCGTAACAATTGATTAACCTAATGGAACGTCAGAACATAAATTTAAAACAATAAAACACTATATAGGAACAATGTTTTTTTTTTTAAAAAATTCAGAATAATAATATTTAACATCATCACAACAGCTGAAACATCAATCAACTAATATAAAACATCAGACACGTAATTTGAAACAATAGTATTCACAAATGAATCATTGACATTAATTATGGGACATTAGACCACTATTTAGGAACATTAGCTTTTAATACTGTAACATTGTAGTAAAATTCCGGAACATTATCTTGAAGATTTGAAATAATAAAAAAAATAATTGGAATAATTAGGCAAATTCTCGTAACAATTGATTAACCTAATGGAACATCAGAACATAAATTTGAAACAATAAAACACTATTTAGGAACAATAATTTTTTTTTTAACAATAATATTTAACATCATTAATTTGAAACAATAATATGAAACAATAGTATTCACAAATGAATCATTCTAGTTGCAGTACAATAAAATAAATACTAATCTGAACCAATAAATTTGAAACAATAATATTTAACATCATAACAACAGCCGGAAACATGAATAAACTAATATGAAACATCAGACACATATTTTGAAACAATAGTATTCACAAATGAATCATTCTAGTTGCAGTACAATAAAATAAATACCTGTGCTCACATTGCTGGAAAACAGAATTTACAGCAATTTTCATAGCTGGATCTTGATCCGTAATTAAAAAATTGGGCTCCCTACCGCCCATTGCCTTAACAAATGTTCTAAATAGCCATTGGAATGAAGCAACATCTTCCTTTACAATAAAACCAGCAGCAAAAGTGACACATTTCTTGTGGTGATTGACTCCCGTGAATGGACCAACCACTATATTATATCTGGAAAACATGAAACATACGCTGAAATTACGATTCCGATATTTATGTCTACTGTTTCGTAATATTATTCTAATGTTCCGAAAATTAAAACAAATGTTACATCAAATTGTAACACCCAAAAAAAAAAATTCAAAAAACTTTAAAAATAACACTATGATACCTGTTGCTTTGGTAGGTTGTATCAAACGAGAGCATATCACCAAATACGGCATAATTTCTCCGGCAAATAGGATCTTCCCATAAAGCTCTACATAGACAGTCGTCTTCATCCATTTCGTAATAAAAAAAATAAGCCGACCACATCAACTTTTTCCTCTTAAAATTATCAACAAACATCTGGGCGTCCGATCCTTCAATATACGCCTTCCAATCTCTATGAAAATTTTTGAAGTCATTCCTACTAGCACCTATATTCTCATACCCACTAACATATTCCTTCACCATTCTGTATGTCTTGACAGGACCAATATTCACCTGTGGAGACAGAATGTAAAAAGACTAGACTGTTTGAGGACCATGCTATATATGGAACAGATCTAACAGTGCATATTTAATTTTATGAAAAAAAGGCAAAAAAGATATCAAAGATTCTAAATATAGATGTGAACAAAAAACAAAAAGGCACACATTTAATTACAAATAACGGTACACGTTATTCTTGATGGATAGTGCGAAATTCGATGATGACATATTATATGAAACTAAAATGCACTTTATTGTTCCATATATCTGACCACCTGTTCCAAAAATGCACTTTATTGTTCCATATATCTGACCTACTGTTCCTCCGCATTACCCTATTGTTACATTTGTTATAATAACTGTTAATATTAAACCTTTACAACCAATCGCTCCAACTATGTTTCAATTATACGTTATATTGTTCCATTTATCAAAACCATTGTTCCATACAGTTGTACTTACACCTACTTGAGTACATACATTACAAACAATTGTTCCATCAAAAACAATATATATTTCATATTACAGTACTAATGTTTCATATATGTACACAATTGTTACTTCACATTTAAAATTTAATCATTTTAAACAAAACCATATTCAAATACGATTGTTCCATCCAAAACAATATATATTTCATATTACATTACTAATGTTTCATATATGTACACAATTGTTACTTCACATTTAATATTTAATCATTTTAAACAAAACCATATTCAAATACCTTTGAATTATCAATTATCATTTTCTTATGAAACATTGTAAGCTTTCTTTTGGACTTCTGAAAATGAGAGTTCTCGGATGAATACATATGATGAGTATGCCCTTCTTCAAAATTAGAAACAATGTAACCTCCATCTTCGCAATACTTTAAAATCATCTTTGCCTTACAACCAACTCGAGTAGACAATCTTCTTTTAACCATAGGAGTATTCGCTTCTTGACAATCATAGTCTTCTTTATCTTGACCAACAACCACTTCTTCAACATTCATATCATCTACAAATTTATCATCTTCTTCCCCGATACTATCAACTTTCTTTGTCACCACATTATTTCGTTTTTCTTTAAACCCAGCTTTATTACATACAATAATTTGAAAAGAAATAATACCATTTTTTATTTTTTTGACCGTCGACTTTCTAGTAATAAATCCTACAATAGCTGCGTAGGACTCATAAAAACGCAAACCTTCATCAAGTTTTGAAAATTTCATACCTATAGTTGGTCTAATTTCACTATCACAACATGGAATCCATATCTTCGTTCCACCAGGGGTAAAAGCATGAAGAACATTAGACGTACCACATTCAACAGACAAATCCATGCTTAATATAACTACAGAAAAATAAAATAAAATTGAGCTCTAACCTTTGATAATGTATTCCAATGGCTGAATGTATTCCAATGGCTGAGATAACGTCTTCCAATGACTGACCCGGAATGTATTCCAATGGAATACAATGTCTTCCAATGCAAAAAAAAAAAAAAAAAATTACAAACAATAATTACCTTTTCAAGTTGGCCCACGTGAATTCCCACTATAGTTACCAATAAATCTGAACCATTCATCTAATAAAAATGAATGGTCTTAGATTGGTTCTCATTTTAACTTGGTTCTCACCTAAGCCATGGGTACTCACATGATCCCATTTCTATATATATATATATATATATATATATATATATATATATATATATATATATATATATATATATATATATATATATATATATATATATATATATATATATTGTTTAGGGTAAAAGTACCCTAGACACGTGGCACATTGGTCTGGTGACACGTGGCGTATTGCCATTAGTCAACAGGGCTCCAATCCCCTGTTGACACGTGTCCTTGGAACCCTACATTGGGGACTTGTCTGTCCCACTATAAATAGTGGGACAAACCTCATTAATGGGGTATTCATAAATACAAACACAATTACCGAGCAATATTAATTGCGGAATTCTCCCAATCAGCGGGAAGTACTTTACCCTTTCCGCACTTTTTCCTCCTGTACGTATACTAACTTGATCGTCGGAGGCGGAGCTCCTACCCACCGGAGTCTTCGTGATCTTGCAGGTACAGGCATTGGTAGCTCAGTCTCGGAATCGTAACTCTCCCGCAGGACAGCTTAGAAAACCCCGAAACATCTGGCGCCGTCTGTGGGGGGAGTACTTCCAAGATGACTTCAGATACTGTACCACCGAATCCGGACAAACGGCCCTTGGCCGAGCCAGAGGTCCAGACAGACCAGGAAAGTGGTGACGACTGTGAAGTCGCACCTATGTGGCCCCAGACGGGTCCTTTAGAACAAAACGCACCCGTTCCAAAGAAATGAAGGAACGGGGTGAGAACCAAGCTGCTCCAAGCAACACAGCCGGTATGCCGGTTGGGAATGCCCAGGCAGCAGCGGGATCTGCTCCCATCACGAGAAATGAACTCATGATCTTCATGAATAGTCTCAAAGGCGAGATAAAAAAGCCTTCCTCCTCTAGGAAGAAGGCTCTGAAGGATCGTATGCCCACTCCTCATCCAAAGCCCAAGGTGGTGGAGGGGCCCAATATCGACTTAAACAGGCTTCTCTTCCCTCAAGCGGAGCAAAGAAAAGCCATCTGGCACCTACAGCCGGATGGATCCAAGAAAACCTTCTCTGATGCCCGGATGTTTCTCCAGGAGAAGAGAAATCAGCAGCTTTCTGCGTCGGCCTCCACGTCGACCTTCCCTGACAGCTTCCGCAGTGCCTCCGTCAGACACTCGTAAACAAACCAAGGGGGTCAGTCTCGCGAACCTTCCGCGCGATCTGGTCCCAAAGTGATCCAGTTGGGACAATATGGTCCGCCATATGTACCGGGTGGATCCCCTTTTTCTACACTAGGCCTCTTCGGGGGTCATGGGCAGCAGCCGTTCCAACCCACGGATTGGCAGCTGCGTCTGCTTAATTTGGGAGAACATCCTACGGCGTTCTCGCCAGACATAACTCAGGTGGCACAGCCGCCCAAGGTCAAGAATGTGTTGGTAGGTGCCTATGATGGTTCCTTTAACCCGGAAGACCACCTAATGGCATACTCCAACCTCATGTATCTACAGGGGTTGGATGACGCCGCCTGGTGTCGATGCTTTCCGGCGAACCTGAAGGGCATTGCCCAACGGTGGTTTGGTAACCTACCAGCCGGCTGCATAAACAACTTCAGAACTTTGGCGTACTTGTTTACGTCAAACTTCTCAATGAATTTCCCTGCCAAAAAGACCAGCCTTGATCTTGGGGAAATACAGTAGGGTGACAAGGAGGGACTCTCGTCCTGTGTCAGGCGGTTCAATCTGATGAGAATTCAGATTCAAGGGCCGTCTGACGAAGTTGCTTACACAGACTTCTTCAAGGGTCTGAAGGATGGGTCGACCTTCAAGTTCGACCTCGTCCGGAAAAGGGTAGCCACCCTCCAAGAGGCATTAATGGAAGCATAAGCGTATATACAGGCGACAGAGCATTGTGCTGTAAAGCAACCGTCGGATTTCAAAAAATCTGACAGAAAAGATAACCGGCCACAGCAGCCGGCAAAAAAGGAAGATAAGAGAAAAGGAATCTGGGCGGCAGACCGGTCTAGTCAGCCGGCCCAGAAGGAAAGAAGAAAATCTGAACCGTACGTCCCCAAGTACGAGTTCACAAAGGACTGCTCCTCCATTCTCATGGAGATCAAGGACCGGTTGTCCCTCCAGAAACCGGCCGCCATGAAAAGTCCCGCCAGCAGCCGGGATAAGAGCAAGAACTGCCAATACCACGAGGATGTTGGCCATGACACTAATGGCTGTTACAGCCTCAGGCGGCTGTTAGATCGTCTAGCTGACGAGGGAGCTCTTAAGTCCTATTTGCCAAAGCCCAAAGGTAACCCCAAAACAAACAAGGGGCAGGCGGCAAAACCCGGCCCTGCTAACTCTGAAACGGATGAAGAGACAGTCTTCACCATAGCAGGCGGTTTTGCCGGCGGAGGCCCAACCATCCGGGGTACCAAAGACAACATCAGGAAGCTGGCCAACTCAGTGGATGAGGGCCAAGCGTCGAGAGACACCTTTCCTGAGGTCTTTATTTCTGGAAAGGACCTGGGCAAGGTTAGGCGGCCTCACGATGACCCCATTGTCATCGAATGCAAGGTTGCCAACCAGAAAGTTGGCCGGATCTTAATAGATACCGGGAGCTCGTCTGACCTAATCAGCTATCAGTGCTTGAAAAAGCTCAAGTACAAGCCTAACAGCATGAATCGGGCGCCTCACCCCTTAGTCGGCTTTGGGGGAGGAGTGGTGCATCCGGTGGGAAGCATTGACCTTCCTATCCGGCTGGGTGAAAAGGGGCAAGGACGCCATATGGTCGTAAAATTTTTGGTTGTGGAAGAGCTGACTGCCTAGAACATGATGTTTGACCGACCGACCCTCAACGAATCCAAGGCTGTGATCATCCCATCTCTCATGCTGGTCAAATTTGAGAAGGATGATGGTACAGTCGGTTCCCTAAACGGGGACCAGAAGACGGCTAGGGAGTGCTACCTCTCTGACGTCAAACCAACTATGGGTGCAGCCGGTCATGGCGAGCCCATAGATGTTGATAACTGTGATCCCGCAGTGCCGGCTCTAATGGCAGTCGGTAAGAAAAGAAAGGCGGACCAACTGGCACCCGTCAAAAAAGAAAAACAGTAGCAATCACTTGCCGGAGAAAGGTTGGATGACTTTCGACCCCAACCGGCAGGTGAGAGCGTTGATGTCATCCTGGACGACAGCCGGCTTGACAGAACCGTCAAGGTTGGGACGGTTGCTTTTAAAGTGTTGGGGGCAGACTTGCTCGAACTGCTAAGGGAATTCAAAGACATTTTTGCCTTTGAAGTGGAAGAGATGCCAGGCGTAAGCCCGGATCTAGCTGTCCACAAACTCGCCGTGGATCCAAAAAGGAAGCCGGTTAGGCAGAAAAAGAGAAACCATGGCAAGGAGATATCTCAGGCGGTAGCCGCCGAGGTCAATAAGTGGTTAAATGCTGGGTTCATCCGGCAATGCTACTACCCGGATTGGGTAGCAAACGTTGTCCTGGTTAAAAAGCCGAATGGAACCTGGCGGATGTGTGTAGATTACATAGATCTGAACAGAGCATGTCCAAAAGACAGTTACCCGCTCCCACTGATCGACAGCCTGGTCGACTCTACAGCCGGCCATGCTTTGATGAGCTTCATGGACGCCTACTCAGGCTTCCATCAGATACCCCTCTGGAAAAAAGATCAGGAAAAGACGACATTTGTCACTGATCAGGGGTTTTTCTGTTACAAAGTGATGCCGTTTGGGTTGAAGAATGCACCTGCTCGTTTCAGCGAATGATAAACATAGTTTTCCGCCATCAAATAGGCAAGAATGTAGAGGCGTATATTGATGACATGATAGTCAAATCCAAGCTACAGACGGATCACCTAGCTGACCTCCGAGAAACGTTCACCACACTCAGGCGGCACCAGGTCATGCTTAACCCTAAGAAGTGTGTCTTTTGTGTTGAGTCTGGGAAGGTTCTCGGATTTCTGATTGACCAAAGGGGGATTGAGGCTAATCCGGAAAAGGTACAGGCGATAATTGACATGCAGTCACCCCGCATTGTAAGAAAAGCCCAAAAACTCACCAGTTGCCTGGCGGCATTAGGGAGGTTCCTCAGCCGGTCTGGCGACAAATGCCTCTATTTCTTTCAAGCAATTAGGAAGAGGTTAAGGTTTGAATGGGGAGAAGAGGCTGAGGCGACATTTCAAAAGCTTAAGCAACATCTACATTCTTTTCCAAGGCTAGTGAGCCCCCTGCCCTAGGAGGCTCTCTACATGTACCTAGGCGTCTCAGATCACTTTCTTAGTGATGTTCTCCTTGCTGAGAGAGACGACAATCAACTCCTGGTGTATTTCATCAGTCATGTCCTTAGAAATGCTGAGCTTCAGTACCATATGATTGAAAAATTTGGGTTGACCCTCTACAAAGCAGTCAAGCGGTTGAAGCCCTACTTCCTGGCTCATCTGGTAACTGTATACACTGATCAGCCACTCAAGCGCCCAATGACCACCATAGAGTCATCTGGTAGAATGATCAAATGGGCTGTTGAAATGCAAAGCCTGGAGATAACTTTTGAACCTAGGCGGGCAGTGAAAGGTCAGGCGTTTGCCAACTTCATTGTTGAGATGACTAGGCCAGTGCAACCGGAAAATCCTGATTAAGTTTGGAAGTTGTCTGTGGACGGTAGTTCTACAGCGAACGGCTGTGGTGCACGCGTTATTTGCCATTCTCCGGAAGGGGATAAGTTTGAATATGCACTA